CCCCTCCCTCCCAGGGAGCGCTGACCCGGTGACAGGGGCGCCTGGCAGAGGCGGCCTCGGGAGGACACGTGGCTTTTATAACGTCCATCCCTTACCTTACCTTTCCCCATTGCCGACATTGCTTCCGTATCTTCAGCAAGTGTCCAGCACAAGAGGATGCTGCTCAGTGAATAAACACGTCCTTTAGGAAGAGAAATACTGAGCACATGTCTTAGTTTCCTCCCCCTCTTCTCTCTCGCTGTGAGACTGAGTTATCCTGGCTTCAGAGAGTAAAAGAGACCCAAGGCTCAGGAGATTAAACAGCCCGCCCAGCCCTTTCTAAAGCAGATGACACCCTCCTGCCTTTGAAACGGCTCCGCGAGCACCTGACTGACGAGAGCTCCTATTGATGCCCTGGGATGAGAGCACCCGTGGGGACCTGGGCTTTGATTGCCTGCAGGGGCTCTTGGGCTTCCGCCACACAGCCCCGTCCTGGTGGTGGCTTTCCTTTACCGGGTTTCTGTCCGGTTCTCAGTCCCTGTGTCTCCTCAGCTGGCGAGCTGAGGTTTTCTCACGGCCATGGATCAGCCTGCCTCTGTTCCAGCAGCGTCCTCGCCCCTTTTATGGGATGGACGAAGAAATCTGCTTTGTTAATGCTGCGGGAAAGACCGGAGTGGTCAGGTTCAGCATGGAGGTCTGGAAATGTTTTTCACGGGATATAATTGATGTCCAGGGGCTTGGTGCCCAGTCTCCCATCTGTGCTGGACTCAGAGGGGGCAGCCATGGTCCCTGACCTCACAGTCCCAGGTCTCGGTGGGGATATGAAAAACGCTGAATAATGAGCAGGTGACTGAGCGAAGGAAGGAAGGAAGGAAGGAAGGAATGCTAACATTTCCAGTTTACATTTAAGGGAGGTGTCTGGACACTGCAGCGCTGGTCTCTCCCGACGGCCACAAAGTGCATCTCCCAACTTCCAGCTGTTTCCGTGGCGTCTGCAAAAGGCCTGGGCCCCGAGTTCCGCCACCTGCCTGTGGGTGACCGTCCCCGAGGCTTCGTCCTTGTCTCGCGATCACCGACTGCACAAGGAAACCCACCAAGTCCAGGAAGTCGCTGTGCTGGTGGTTTATTGCTTTAAGGAGGAAAGCCATAAACGGGGAATTTGAACAATGAAAACGTGAAGTCCTTCACATTGAACAAGTACGTTTACGCAACACAGATCACGAGCAAAAGGAGGGGTGCGGTGAAAGGTGACAGACGCCCACAGGCCCCGTCTCTGCTGGGAGGTGCCCAGGCATTCTTCTGTGTGTTTTCTTAGTCACTTACGAACCTGGCAGGAGGAGCACTTAAATATTAAGTCACAGCTTGAAAATCGATATACACATTTATACACAGACCCGCGTATGTGCAGACACACACCATCCATCCGCGCGACCATTCTCGAGTCCCAGCTGGGCCGGGTATCCCGGCAGTTAGTTTAGATCAAGGAAAGTCCTTCAGAAGCAACGACCTCACGCAATGTGATCGCCACAGGCCACGTCGCTTCCCACAATCCCTCCGTGGACAGGACACGATGCTAAGGCGATTGCAGACGATGATGTCATCGGGCCGGCTTCCTGTGATGGCCCCTCGAGTCCCTGTCCGAGTCAGAGCTGCAGCTACTGTGAGGACAGTCTCTCTTGTCCTGGGCTTGGTGTCGGGAGAGGCGGCTCAGGCACCGATCAACCTTGGTTTGCCATCCGGGTCTGCAGGTCAGCAGCTGGTGAGGCGCTGAGCAGATGACTGAGCCTCTGTGAACCTCAGCTGTCTCATCTCTAATGTGGGGAGATGACAACAGGCCTCATCGTAGATGAGAGATGGCAGGAAAGCACCCCGTGCAGGCCTGGCACAGAGGAAGTGTCCATCGGGTGCTTGCCATGGGGTTTAGCCAGAATGAGTGGTTTGGTAAAGCAGCTCCCGCTCCCCCGCCCACACCTCAGGCAGGAACGTGAATTCCTCCATCAAAGGGTCTCTGGTCTTGGGCGTCTCTTTCCGGTTTCCGAGGACATGGAGCTACAGGGACAGGCGAGGCGACCCCTCTGAGGGACCCTGTCTCCCCTGCTGTGGTGACAAATGTGATGTCCTTCACATTGGGGTCACTCACGCTCCGCCGGCAGGTCGCCCCGAGAGCAAGGCAGAGTGGAATAAGCTGAGATTTGGGCTTCGCCTTTGCGGGGCTGATTTCTGAGCCTCTCGGTGTCTCAGCTGCTCTACTTATAAAATGGGGAAGACAGACTCACTCAGAACTGCTGTGATCATGAGTAAGATCATGAAAACTTAGTGCTTGGCACCCAGTAATCTCAATACAGGGACATTTTGTCATTGTGATTGTTGTTCTTCGCTTTTATTGGCGTGCGGCATGCCCCTGCGGGCTGATGCTGACTGCTTCCTTACTGGGCCCAGGTCTCTGTTTCCACACGGAGCTGAGATGTTCCAACGGGGGCCGTTTCTCAAAACAACTGCTACCTGGGCACTCAGGGCCCCCAGCCCTTCCCACCCACTCCCGGGGTAACCCCGATTCCTCCCACCAGGCTTCCTGTGACCCCGGGAGCTATGATTCGTTTCCCAAACTGGAGTCCCTCTTCAGTGAGAACCGAGCTCTTGGGTCTCGGCTGAATCGGATTCCCCGTCACGGAGTCTGATTTGTAGAGGGCTGGTTTGGTAAAGCAGCTCCCACTCCCCCTCAGGTGAGTTCCCCCTGAGAAAGCCCGGCACGGCCCACACAGACTAGAAGAGATTACTCGTGGGGTCAGTTCTCCTCACACAGAGTTCCCCCCCCAATAACCCATTTTCCAGGTCTCTGTTCCTGTGGCCCTTAAAGGAAGAGTCAGCGGGTAGAAATGAGGCCGTCACGCACGTGTGGAAGCGGAGAGCTTCTGAGTAAAGGTAGGATCACACGCCGCTTCTTTTGTTCGCCAGCTGTGTGCGCACCACGGGGCGCCTGGCACGGCCCAGGCACTCGGGAGGCCGCAGTGCGGAGGACGCAGTCTGGCCCTTGTGTCCCGGTGGGGAACCCCTCTGCAGGCCACGCACATCCCCTTCGCTGCGCATCGCAGTGTGCAGTGCTGGGCGAACCACGCCGCCTGTGAGCGCAGGGCCCGGTTCTGGGCCGCAGGAGCGACGGTCCGCTGGGGAGATGTGGGATTCCGCCCACCTCGCACGCTTCTGGGCACTTGGCACCTCAGTGACCCGAATGCCAGGTTCCCCTCTCTTGGCAAAGGCCCTAGAGCAGCGCTTCTCAACCCGTGGGTCGCGACCCCTTTGGCGGACGAACGACCCTTTCACAGGGGTCGCCTAAGACCATCCTGCATATCAGATATTTACATGACGATTCATCACAGTAGCAACATTACAGTTAAGTAGCAATGGAAATAATTTTATGGTTGGGTTACAACATGAGGAACTGTGTTTAAAGGGCCAGAAGGTTGAGAACCACTGCCCTAGAGAGACAGTGAGGAAGGGCAGAAAAAAAACCGAGAGCGAGGGGTCGCTGACTTCGACGTGTTCTCCTGCCCTGATGCGCTTGGGAGCTCTGAGAGGAGGAAAGACATCGGGGTGATCAGGCCAGTCAGCGGGGGTTGCAATCCCGACCCCCTCGGACCAGCTGGGCGGCGGTGGCCCCGTTTCCTTGCGGCTCTGAGCTTCCATTCACATTTGTAAGAGCAGGAATCGTAATGGGCACCTTTCAACACGACCCTGACGTGTCCGTGAGCTAGTGCAAGGGAGGCACCGAGAACATGGCGTGTGGCAAGTACAGAGCGAAAGAAGGTAACAGTAAAGAGTTCTAGTTCACTAACAAAATGAATACTGGCCTCCTTGCCACGGGGACAGCCTTGTCGTGCTATTTGCTGCAACCCCATTGGCTCTTGATCCCTGTTTCTAACCAACTGGTAAACCTCAGTCTTGTGGGTCAGAACGGGGTCGTGTGGGTCGGCAGACCCGAAGTCTGTGACATGGGTCACTGAGGCAGAAAGAGACGGTGTGTCCTGGGCCCGGTGGCCCTTGCCACCCAGGCTGATGCAGGCTTGACCCACCCCCTGGCCTGACCCATCCCCGGCCTGGACCTTGGCCACTGCTGGAGGGTCTGGCCTGGACATCAGTTGAGGTTCCTAAGTGCAGAAGAATGTCCCAGAACACCACTCTCAGGGGTGAGCGAGGCCATCCAGGGGCTCCCCTACCTCCCCTGAGCCCCCAGGCCAGTGGGGGTCTGGCTTTGGGGAAGAGCCTGGCCCATCCCCCGTGGACGTCCTGGTGGTCAGCAGCAGATGCGTGCTACGTCTGTCGCTCCTTCAGAAAATGGGATGACCTTGCTCTGCCCTTGGAGTCCTGACTGGGGACTTTCCTCAGGAACAAGAATGAAATTGACCAAATGGCATTTCTAAGGAAATGACCCCAACGTGTACCCCTCACAGCGCAGGAGTGAAGAGGAACTTAGCCTCAGCAAGGCCCGGATTCATGGACACAGTTCTCCGTGGATCCAAGCCCAGGAACCATGGGCCTCCCGTGGCAGATGTCTGGTGACTTCGGGGTACGTATATCTTTGGGATCAGAGGTACTTTGAGGTGCTATGGTCAGAACGGTCTATTACAGGGCCCCTCGGCAAAGCCCGAGCAGTAGACTGATCCGTTGTCCTCAATCCCATCGCTCCTGTTGCGTAGACCCAAGGAGTCTCATGTTTGGCATCTCAAGGGGGGGACTAGCGAGATCGGATGTCCAGCTGAGTCGCTCCATGGGACTCGGGACACACAGTGACTCACACAGGCCCAGACCAGGCGGAGAAGGCACTTTCTGTGGAGGGCACGCAGGACGCTGCCAAGGACGGGACCCACAGCCGGGGCCGGAGCAGCAGCCTAGTGTGAACCATAGGGTGGTCGGAGACAGGGAAGGGGCCAAGGGTCTGGGTCAGGGTCACCGGCAATGAATGGGAAGTGGACTAGGGAGGGCCCAGCCGTGGGCCGCTGAGGGCTGGCTGCTTGGCACGAGTTGGGCCAGGCCCGAGCCCTGCGTGTGGTGCCCGCCTAATTGGCGATTTCGGAGAAGTCGGGGTAGAGGTCCAGGTCAGCAAAGATGTCGTTGGGGTTTCTGCAGCTGAGGTTGCAGAAGCAGGCGTTGATCCACAGGACCTGGCGGGAGAAGCCGGGCCCGTCGGGGCACTGGAAGGAGACGTCGATGGTCTTGGACTTGTAGGGTATGCAGCACCTGTTGTCCGTGCAGACCCCGCAGTACTTGGGCCTGTAGGCGCGTGTGCTGACGCAACCGGCGAGGGTGAGGTTCACGGGCGCCTCCGGCTGGTACACAGCCAGACACTTCTTCCCTTCCTGCGGGAAAGGGGTGTCGGTTGGGATGCTCAGGGGACGAACCACCACCTCTGCCTCCCAGCCTCAGGGCCCCTTTTCTCTCACCCCCTTTCTTTTAGATCCGCAGCACCTTCAAGCTGGGGAGGCCCTCCCCCAATCCAGCAAGACCCGCCCCGTGCGACGCAGGAGTCAACTGAGGCCCACAGACCGGAAGGCTTTGCTCAGGCCATGCCTCGCAGTCTGCAATTTCTTCTTCCCTCCATTTCTGCCTGCCCCCTGCCCACAGGACACCCCTGTAGCTCCCCCATCAACCAAGTGCCCAGCTAGCTAGTAGTGACTGGGTACACGCTTTACCCTCCCTCCCCCTCCTCTGCTCCCCACAGCCTCTCACACCCACTTACTCAACTGAGTGGTGTTATTTAAAAGTAGCTCGCCCAGCTGGTGTGGTTGAGCATCGACCTATGAACCAGGAGGTCATGGTTCAATTCCCGGCCAGGGCACATGCCCGGGTTGCAGGCTCCAGCCCCAGTGTGGGGCATGCAGGAGGCAGCCTATGCCTGATTCTCTCTCATCATGGATGCTTCTCTCTCTCTCTCCTTCTCCCTTCCTCTCTGAAATCAATAAAAATATATTTTTAAAAAAAGTTGCTCTGTCTCTCCCTTGGGCCACTCAAGAGCAGGGCTCTTTCTGGGCGCCCGTGGTCTAATTCTATGCTGGCACATGGCAGGCGCTGGACGGGAGGTCAGGCCCCCATACGTTACGGACGTGGGGCCTGGGGCACAGCGATGGGGGACATGGGCCACCGTCACGTGCAGTCAGCAGCAGGCAGGCATTTGATGCCAGTGTCCCGGGCCCCGTCTAGTGCTCCTGTCACCCACGTGGCTGGCGTGAGGTGCACACGGGTGGTGTGAGCACAGGGGCAGAGGAGAATGGCGGTCATGAGGGTCCCCCAGAATCACCAGGGGACCAATTCTGAGGGTCCCTGGGTTCTCTCTGGAGAGACCCTGATGCTAATAACATAGTCACCACGATCACTCTGTTCAGTGAAATTCACAAGACGCCCACCCAGTGACACACGTTGCCCCGATAACGGTTAGGAGGTGGGCTTACCTACCCTCATTTTACAGCAGCCCCCGGAGAAAGCTGGGGGGCCAGGCTCAGAGCCCAGCTCCCCTGTGGAGCGCGAGACGCCCACCCCGCCCTCCCGGGGAGGGGACCCACCTTGATGAGCGGACGGATGTCCACGTCGCAGGGCCGCAGGGCGCAGAGGCGGCTCTCCTGCTCGGGCCAGCAGCGGGTGTTGGCGTTGGAGACCCGCGTGGAGATGCCCAGGCCGCAGCTGGTGGAGCAGGGGCTCCAGGGGCTGGTGTGGGCGATGCAGTTCCCGTGCCAGGGCTCGGCCTCGCCCGTGACCGCTGCAGACAGACACCAGACCCCCCGTGAGTCTCCAGCCTCCGTCACCCCCCACCCCCACCACCGCCACCCGAGGTCCCCGAAACTCGGCCAGGACGGAGGTGGCCAGTCGGCTTCTAACAGCCATGGGTCCCCAGGGACAGCAGGCCTGGCTCTGAGTCCCCCCTCTTCTCTTCTCTGGAGGGAGGCCATCTTCGGGGACAGGGGGACCTGCGTTTAAGTCCCGCTCGGCCGCCTACCACTGTGTGACCTTGGACATCTCGGCCCACGGCCTCGCGGGCTGGGCGGCCATGAGGGTAACCTAGACACTGGCTGAGCACGTGTCCGGCGTCTGCTTGGGGCTGGGATAAATCCACGGGACCCTGTTCCTGCCTCAGAGGTCACGTTTATCTGGGGGAAGGTCAAAGGCCAGTGGCTACCCCGCGGACCCAGCATTTCCTCTGGGTGAGGCTGAGGGCACGGTGCTCAAGGGGACACACAGGCTTCAGAGGGAGCGGGTGGGTGCAGCTCTGAGCAGGCCCCCCTGCCCGGGGGCGGGGGGGGGGGGGGGGGGCGGTGATGGTAGCGTCCCCTCCTGGGCTGTGGGGGAAAGGTGGGCTCGCCCCGGGCTGCCCTGGCCTCAGGGAGCCCTCAGACGATGTGAGCTCACACGGTTTCCTAACCAGCGGCCAACAAACACCAGCTCTCAGGTGGGTCATTAATGTTTCTCTCCTGGCATCTAGAATGCTCTCTGGCGGCCTGAGAAATGGAGAATGCCGTGAGCTAGGGATGGAGGCGGGGGCATGGAGGACGGGCCGAGGTACCCAGGCAGACCCCAGGAGGAAGCCAGGTTCACCCTGCAGAGCAGGCGAGAAAGGAGCAGGCAGAGGGGAGCGGGGAAGACAGAAGGAGACAGAGTGGGGGGCGGGGAAGAGAGAAAGGGGCTGGGAGAGGAAGGTGATAAAAATGGGGGAGGGAGAGACAAAAATAGGAAAGAAAAGCCATCTAATAGGATCAGAAAGGGGGACGGTGAGGCCTCATACCCAGCCCCTCAAGGCTAGAGGGCTGCAGGGAACATTGATGCATGAAAGGGATGGATAGGGAGAGGAGGGCAGGGAAGAGGAGGGGAGGGGGAGGAGGAAAAGAGGAGGACAGAGGAGGCAAGGGTCTGGGTGAGCTGGGCTGTGAGGTGGAGGGAGGGGCGGAGGGGAGGGATTTGCCTGAGAGGATAAAGGGCTTTGGTTTCTGGGTCACCTGCTAGGCAGGCAGGGGCTCTGCTGGTGTTTGGTCAGAATGGGGTCACTGGGCCACACACAGCAGGCAGACAGCCGCCCTCCCCTACCTCCCACCCGCCCCCCCCTCCCCCCCTGTGGTGGGACTGCTGCCCTGGGCTTGCAAGGGACACAGCGCTCCTGTCACATCCTCCCCACAGGGACTGCTTCTTCCTGGGGCTGGCTCAGCCCCCGGGGCACCCCAGCCCCACCCAGAGAGGTTGTGCAATCCTCAACCCCAGCAGGGTGTGGGGTGGGGACCTCCTGGGGTGGCCCCTCTGCACTACTGCTCTCCTGCTTCCTGTTTGTTCTCTTCTGCAAACCCTCCTGTGCCCGCCTGCCTCTGGGATCTGCTGCCCTCAGCTTCCCTCTCTCCCCCTCGCCACACACACACATGGCGGTGACTCAGGGGACCCCGTGTCCGCCAGGTCTGCTGGCCTTTGGTGCTATTACCACTTGAGTGGCAGGTGCCGTGGGCATCTGGTGGGTAGGGGTCGGGATGCTGCTTAGCATCGCACAGTGCACAAGGCCGCAGCACATCATGAGGAAGGATCTGGGCCGAAGGCCTCGCCCCCCCCGCGCCCCCCCCCCCCCCCCGCCTCCTCTGCACCCTCACCTGGTCTGCCCTCTGCACCCTCACCTGCTCTGCAGGTGGGATCACAATGAGCCGCACCTGCCTGGCTTTGGTCTCCACAAAGCCCTCCCTCATGTCAGGCTCCGAGGACCCCGTGGGACAGGCAGAGCGGGCCGTTCCCAGGTTACCCCGGGAGGCAGGTCCAGAGGAGACGGACCCCCCAGGCCCGCCCTCCCACGCCCACGCTTGGCGCCCACCCCACGCGCAGCACCCACCTAGGTCCCCCGTGTGGCGCGGCGCCGTCTTGCGCAGCCTCCGGGCTCCGTCGTCGCACACCCACTGCTCACAGCAGCGGCCGGGCAGGCGGACCCGCCGTGGGTGGCGGCACCAGAGGCGTGGGGGGCGCACCCGCAGGCACAGGGGCGTGCAGCCCACTGCGCCGTCCACGCACGTGCAGTTGAACTTGCAGCTGGGCTGGAAGGACTCGCCGTTGCCGTAGCGCACCCCGTCCAGGACGCAGCCCACGCCGACCACCTCTGCGAACACAGGGCGCCATCAGGCCCAGGTCGCCACCAGGCCCAGGGCCCGCCAGGCTGCCTCCCACGGTGCCCTGCGCCCACACCCTCCGGGGGTAGGACGCAGAGACAGGGCCCAACCCAAGAGGGGCTGGGCAGAGGGCGGGCAGTGCTGTCACGGCTTCAGCTGCTGCTGGTTGAGTCACACCTGCTGCCAATGTCAGAGGGAAAAGCATGGTGGTGGTGGTGGGGGGGATCCGGGTAGCCACTCCGGCTCCTGCCCCCAGCACATGGCACAGAGCCTGGTACTGACACGTATGTGTCCCCGAGCTCATGGCTGTCAGCGGGGCAGATAGGGAGAACCGATCGGAAACACTTGGAAACAAAAGGTCCCACTGAGTCCACGCGTATTGACGGCTGTTCCAGGCGCTGAAGATCCAGGAGTGAACCAGATAGAGGAAACGCACACCTCACGGATCTGACATTGTAGGGGTGTGACCAGGGAGAACCAACAGATCGTAGAATGTTGGTCGCTGGGGATCGTGCCAGGGAGGACGGTGAAGCAGGAGGGGGCGTGGGAGCTGGGCAGTCCCTGAGTTACATGAGGGGGGCAGGCAGGGCCTCCCAGAGGCAGGAAGGTGTGGGGTGAGCGGTCCAGGTGTTGGGGGTGGAGCCTCCTGGGGCCTGGGGGGGTGGGGGCAGCAGGAGACAGGGGAGAGCGGCTTCCCTGCAGGTGCACCAAAAGGCACACAGCGGTTAGAGCCTAGAGCCTAGAACCGTGCCTGATGCACAGAGGGGCTCAGGCCACTGTTGACTCCATGAGATGAGTTCTACTTGTGGGGAGCACTCCTGGAGCTGAGGGCGGAGGGGAGATGGTAAGGGGGTGTCAGGAGGCTGCCCCAACCATCCAGGTGACAGGGGTGGTGCCCGGGCCAGGGAGGGACCGAGAGCCGCGAGGAGGAGGGCTCCACATCGGAGACATTTGAAAGGAAGAGCTGCCGGGCTCTCGGAAGCCCAGCCTCTGCCCTGTGTGGGGGCCGTGGATGGAGGAGGCAGCGCCGGGTGCCCGGGAGCCCAGCCTCTGCCCTGTGTGGGGGCCGTGGATGGAGGAGGCAGCGCCGGGTGCCCGGGAGCCCAGCCTCTGCCCTGTGTGGGGGCCGTGGATGGAGGAGGCAGCGCCAGGTGCCCGGGAGCCCTGGCACTGTGGTTCCCCGGCACTGCACCAGGCCCCACTGGGGAGCTCTTTAAAATTCGAATGCCCAACAAATAAAAATAAAAAACACATACAAACAAAAGAAAAACATAGAGAAAAAAGAAAAAAAAGAGAGAGAAAATAAAATTCAGATTTCCATGCCATGCCCAGATGGTGAGGGTGGCCTGGACTCCGTGTTTTGACACCTAAAGGGAGAGCCATGATTTGTCACTTTTCCCTGGAGAGCAACACTTACAAGGTTACGGGACTAGCCTAACGCCGTCATCCTGGTTAGTTCTGGTGCCGGGATTCGGACTCAAGTTCTCTAGCTCCAAAGACCATGCCTGGTGAGTCTTCTCCTCCCTCCTCCTTTGCACAGGGGAGTCTGAGCCTGGACCCCGACCGGCCCCTCCTCCGAGGGTGACCGGGGGCGGGGCTGAGTGACGGCCACAGGGAGCCTTAAACCACAGTGAACAGGGGCGCAGCCGCTCACGCCTGAGGCTTCAGGGGCCGCACGGGCTGGATTGAACACGCTCCGCAAGGGACGTGCCCAAGGTCACGTAGCAGGCGAGCCGGAGCCAGGACGCAAAGCCCACGTCTGCCTTGGCCTCTGATCCCGGCAGCAGCCGCCCCCGGCCTGAGCGGCCACATCACAGGCCCAGTGTTTGCGAAACAGAAACAGCCGGGAGCACCCGGGGCCTCCCTGCTCGCAGCCGGGTTTAGCTTGGCGCCCGGGGCATTTCAAACATCTTCCCTGAAACGCGTTGCCAACATGTACAAATTATACCCACATCCGGCCTTTTGGATTTTCTTGAAAACAGAGCAGAGCGGCCAAGACCCGGCTCACTTTTCTGCCGGCCACGGTGGGGTGGCTGGTGCCCAGGACCCTCCACCTCTGCCTGTCCTGGCCACGCCGCCGCCCGCCCCCCTCCCTGCGGCTTCTCTGTCCCAGGTGGCACGTGTTTACAGCATTTTTACCTCCCGCCTCGTCCTGAACTAGTTGTGGGCACGTCTCCAGGGCAGAGTCAGCCTCTGGGGATGCACGTGGGTCGAGCTGACCACCTGACGGATTTTCCTGTTTAGGGACCTGCTCCTTCTCTCTCCCCTCGGGGCCCCGGGCCGCCTTCTCCCTCACGGTCAGACCGGGGCTCTGCCTCCCTGGACGAGGCCTCATGGACTCAGGTGCCAGGGCACCGCTTCCGGAGGATGGTCGGAAGAACATTAGTGAGCTGTGTGTGTGTGTGTGTGTGTGTGTGTGTGCGCCCACGTGTATGCATGAGGTGTGTGTATCGGTGAGTGCATGTGTATGTGAATGTGTGTGAGTGTGCGTGTGTGCATATATGTACTCATGAGCTGTGAGTGTGTGTGCGTATGCATAAGATGTGAGTGTGTGTGCATGTGTGCACATATGTATGCATGAGATGTGTGTATCTGTGAGTGTGTGTGCACATATGCATGCATGAGATATGTGAATCTCTGTGTGTGTGTATGTGAGTGTGTGTGAGTGTGCACATATGTATGCATGAGATGTGTGAATTTGTGTGAGTGTGTGCACACATGTATGCAGAGATGTGACCGTGTGAGTGTACATATGTATGCATGAGATGTGAGTGTGTGTACACATGTATGCATGAACTGTGTGTATCTTGAGTGTGTATGTTCATGCGCACATATGTATGCCTGAGATGTGTGTGAGTGTGAGTGTGTGTGTGTTGAGGTGGGTAAAAATCTGCCAGACAAAAGAGTTCATTGTGCAAACAAGTTTGAAAAGCAAAGGCTTCTGCTGACAGCTCCCCTTTGGGGTGTGCCCAGGGCATGGGCGTTTACAGCTCTGAGCAGATCTCTAACACTTGTAGAACTTGATTTCTTCCACCGTCTGCAAACCTCCATGACCAGGGAGCCTTGGGGAGTGAGAGGCCTGTGGAAGTCCCTGCAGACCCGCTTTCTCACAGCCGCAAGGAGGGAGCGCAGAGGTCTGGGGCTGCAGTGAGGGCAGTGGGGCCTGAGAGACACAGGGGGGTGTGGGGGTGGGTGGGAAGGTGGCTTCCAGGCCCCTGGGGGGAGGGGCAGGCAGGAGAGGCAGTTGGGCTGCACAGTCTCCGAGTCCGAGAGAGAATGTCTACAAGGCGTGTGCCTGGCACCTGGTGAGGTGTCCTGCAGCTTGAGAGATGAGTGTGATCACGGAGAACTGAATAACCTGCTAATGACCTTGAAGAGCAGCCGTGGAAGCTGGGGGTGGGGTGGGGTGGGGGTGGGGGGAGGAATGATGTATGTGAGAGTCTCCTCTGCCTGGAGGGTCCTGGTGCAGGAGGCTCAGCCCTGAGCTCAGCTGCTTCGGGGAGAGAGTGTAGGACTGACTGTATACAGTAGTCCCCTGTTATCCACGGATTTGTTTCCCACGGCGTCAACCACCGTCTGAAAATATTCAATGGAATATTCCAGAAATAAACAATTCAATGAACAGTTCATGCGTTTTAAATTGCAGGCTGCTCTGGATAATGTGATAAAACCCCACGCCATCCTGCCCCTCCCACTCGGGACATGAGTCACCCCTTTGTCCAGCGTGCCCACGCTGTCGACGCTGCCCTCATGGGAGCACAGGGCTTGTGCCAACTCACCCTGACTTCACTTAATAATACCACAGCCGCTACCTTTCATTTCACACAGTCTAGTGCTGTGATTGTTCTATTTTATGATCACTTATTATTGTCGATCTCTGACTGTGTCTAATTGTAAATTCAACTTTCTCAGCGGTGAGTATACACAGGAGAAAACATAGCACCTCTAGGGGTCGGCACTACCCGTGGTTTTAGGTATCCATGAGGGGTCTTGGAACGTGTCCCCCGCAGATAAGGGGGCGCTATTGTATATCAGCAGTCTCACACCTGAGCGTGCACAAGAATCACCTGGGAAGCTTGTTAAAGGTGTGGGTCCCACCCCCCCCTCCAGAAGTGTGGGTTCAGGAACAACACCTTTAACCAACACACAGGTGATTCTGTATAAGTTCTGACTGAACACACTGTTCTGTGGGGCTAACGGTGAGTCTGAATGAAAGAAGAAGGAGAGGGAATATCACTGGTAAAACAAAAGACACATGACTTGGTATGAAAGTGGAAGCGTGAGCCAATGATAAAAGAGCAGGAAGTGCTCATGAATGAACCACGGGGCTCCGATAGGCTTGTCTGACTTGGATTTGTGGGCACAATCCATCAATACCCCCCTCCCCACCACCACCACCACCACCGAGGAGAAGCAGGGGGTTAGGTGAGGTGAGAGGCTGCGCTGTGTGTGTGTCATGGCTGCGGGGACGGGGGTTCGGCCCTCAGGGGAGAGGAGGTTCTGGGGTTTATGAGGCTTTGTGGAACTGTTCAGGGGCCAGGCTGCTGCGTCACAGGCCTGGTTCCCCCCCTGCATCCTCCTGGGTCGTGTGTCTCTGATAAATGCTTAGATGGTTCAGGCTAAATGAGTACCAGTCCAGATAGAAGCAGGAGATCAGAGAGTCCCAGACAGCAGGTCTCTGGGAACAAAAAGGACTGGAAGAGAAAACGGACCACAAATACCACAGCCCTACCCCACGTGAGGATATTATAAAGACCAAGAAGAAAAACAAACAGACAAACAAACAAAAGCAAAGGCAACTAGAAACTCCAGGAAAAACAAAAAGGCTGCACAAGAAAGGAGATTCAAACAAGGGCACATCTCCCGCTGCGTAACAACACTGACACACTGGGCATACTGTCAATGGTGGTGACTGTATAAACAGCAATATGACAACGACATTGGACGCGGTCTCAAGGAGCTGAGTCATTAACCAGCAGCTGTCATACACGATCAGGGACAGGTGACCCCAAATTGATATTTCAAGCCAATCGAGATGTAAGAATGGACATGTATTGTGTCGTCCTAACCACCCAAAGAAAGGGCGAACAGCTAACATGGACCGTGGTAGCTGGGAGAGAGGAAGAAATGGTTGCAGGCCTCTGGCTTTTATTCTTGCAAGGCCACTGAATTTTTAAAGTCTATATTATCTTAATTTATCATCTCACTAAGATAGCTGGAGCTCTGCAGGGTCCCAGTGCCCCAGGAGGCCATGGGCATCCTGCAAGGGGTCCTGCCACTAAGACAGGGGTGGGGAATATCCGGCCCACAGGCTGTATAAGGCCCTCAGACTCCTGTGGCCGGGCCCTGCCAAGGCATGAAGGGTGAGTTAATGAATGTTTGACCCGCTACAGCAGGCTAATGTTAAAGTGATAATATTCTGTGGCCCCCGGATGATGTTATGCTTATCCACATGGCCCTGGGCAGAGACAGGGTCCCCACCCCTGCACTAAGGGAATGGAACCAGGCTGAGCTCTCCCTGGAGTCCGGCATGGATGTGCCCCGGGTCCGAGAGCGAGCCGGATGCCGGGTCTGGAGAGGAGAGGGAGGCAGGCATCGGTCCTTCCTCAGGTAGCCCCACCTCTGGCCTCTAATGATTGGCTGGGGCGTGTGGGGCACCCCCTCCAGAACGGGCCTGGCCAGGGGCAGGCTCCAGGTGAGGGGCCCAGGCCAGAGCTGGGGGGAGGGGGCGGGGATGGCCGAAGTAGGGAAGAAGTCATTTATGTGCACACACTCCTATTGCGTACCTCGGGCTCCAGGTGAGGGCCCGGGCCTGGGGCTGGGGCTTGGGAGGGGGGGCGGGGGGGGGGGATGGGAGGATGGCTGAAGTAGGGAGGGGTCATTTATGTGCACACACTCCTATTTCGTACCTCGGGCTCCAGGTGAGGGCCTGGGACTGGGGCTGGAGCTGGGCGGGGGGGGGGGGGGGGGGGGGGAGCGGGGGGGAGAGGATGGCTGAAGTAGGGAGGGCTCACTTACGTGCACACACTCCTATTGCGTACCTCGGGCGGTCCCCGCTGTAGTCGCAGTAGAGGCCCCGGTGGGGGTCACAGACGGCAGCCTCGGTGCAGTTGTCCCCGAGCTGCTGGGCGCACACCTTGCAGCACTCGCAGCCGTCGGTGACGAGGCTGACCCCCAGCGGGCAGCGCGGCGGGGACGGTGGGCACTCGCACGGCCACTTGCAGAACTGGGGGCGTGAGGACGTGTCCTCCAGCGGCGCTGGGGTGAAGGCCATGGCCGTGGGGGCTGCAGGGAGGGCCTGCGGGGGGAATGGCAGAGATGAGGGGGGCTGCCAGGCGAGGGGCAAAGCCCAGAGGGCGGCCATCACCTCCCATCTTTGTGGTGTTCAAAAGGCTCGCAGCAAATTACGTTCTTCTAGCATTATCCCCCCACTCGCCCGAGGATATGCTTTTAAATCGACTTTTAGAGAGAGAGGAAGAGAGAGAGAGAGAGAGAGAGAGAGAGAGAGAGAGAGAGAGAGAGAGAGAGATGTGCGAGAGAAACATGGACTGGTTGCCTCCCATATGTTCCCCAACCAGGGATTGAACCTGCAACCTAGGGATGTGCCCTGACCAGGAATCAAACCCACGACCCTTCAGTCCGCAGGCCGATGCTCTAACCAACTGGGCGAACCCAGCGGCCAGGGCTGCACTTCATTCTTTGAACAACAGATGCTGAGATATCCAGGCAGATTCCACCTCCCTTCGCTAAGGAGGAAACCGAGGCCCGAAGAGACAGAGGGACATGCCCAGGGTGACACAGTCCGTGACGGGCGAGACACACAGACTCTCTCCACTCCCATTTCTCCCGGCGCTGCCTCCTCCGGCCTCCCAGCCACGCAGTGGCGTTTGCACAGCGAGGCCTCAGTCTCCCTTAAGCATTAAGCATTCCAAGAGGAATCTGAAAAATCCCTGCGCCTAAGGGACCCACAGCTCAGAGGAGAGGCCGACAGGAGAGGCAATGTGTTACAACATGAGGCCAGGTGCGGGGTGCTGGGCCTCCCCGGGGAACCCCGAAGCTCCCGGACACTCCGTGGGACTGTCTGCCTGGTGAATGAGCCACCCTGCGTGCTTGGCTGCCAGGCCCAGAGGCACGGAGAGATGGTCTACACTGAGATGCGGGTCGGTTGGGCTCATTTTCGGGGCCTGGCACATCGTAAGTACAGTAAATATTGATTCAACAGGCACAGGGCCCTTGACAGTCAAAAAGACAAGCCTTCATTTGAGGGTGGGTCCCCTCCAGGCGTGGTCTCAGGCAGGCTTGCTGGCGGGAGCAAACTGCCCTGGGGGTTGGCGATGTCGGCCCGTGGTCACCTGGGAGGCAGGTGTTCGCCCGCGCCTGTGTGCTTTTCCTCAAAAGCACAGCATGACCTCAAACCTCACATCATTACAAGCAACCACAGCCCAGCCGGGGTGGCTCAGTGGCTGAGCCTGGACCTATGAACCAGGAGGTCGCAGTTCGATTCCTGGTTGGGGCACATGCCCGGGTTGTGGGCTCCTCGATTCCCAGTGTGGGGCGAGCAGGAGGCAGCCGATCCATGATTCTCTCTCATCATGGATGTTTCCATCTCTTTCCCTCTCCCTTCCTCTCTGAAATAAAAATATTTTTTAAAAAGACGCCCAGAAGGAAGCAGCAGAGAAGACCCCTGGACAGAAACAAGAGGTTAAGGGTCCCCTGGCCCAGCGGAGGGCTGGGCCGGGCCCTCTGAGCCAGGCCCTTGCTGTTGGCGCCATCTAGTGGTGCAAAACCTCCCAGCTCGCACATGCATAGGCGCACACACACAGGACATCAGCCCTTGAAAGTCCAGGGGGCGTGGCAGGTCCCCCTGCCCTTCGCCTTGGTACATGGACCATTGCCATAAAAACATGGACTCTCCTTGTTCACCCTAAAAGCAGCAGGAGAAGCGTCTCGGGCCGGAGAACAAAGACAAGAGGCCCCAGCCCCTCTGCGCATTGATTCCCCGAAGTCAGCCAGATCCCAAGGCCCCGGCTCGCTGGCCCTTCCCGCACCGAGGTGAGCGGCAGCACCGCCCTCCGCGTGGGGGCGGGAGGCCCTGTTGCAGCGCGCGCCTGTGCTGACCTGGAGCGGGTGGCCCGGGGCCCTTGGGGAGTGTGTCCCTGGTCACTCCAGCACCCCGCATTTGTCCTGAGGAAATGTGAGCCTCAGGTCAGAGCTGCGGTGCCACAGGTCACCCCACGATGCCCCCCTGACCTCCGCTCCCTGACCGGCTGCTTTAGGGTCTCGCCCCCGCTGGTGGAACCTGCATGGAAGGACTCAGCCACAGCCACAGCCACAGCCACAGCTCGGGCCTCTGCCGCGTCCCATCTCCACGGACAACAAGAATGAATTCCCGTGATTCCCTGCTTTTAAGCGAAAAGCAATACACCTGTTCTTGTTTAAGTACTAGGTACTCGCCGGCTGGCGTGGCTCAGTGATTGAGCGTCAACCTATGAACCAGGAGGTCACGGTTGGATTCCCGGTCAGGGCACAGGCCCGGGTTGCGGGCTTGATCCCCAGGGTGGGGCGTCCAGGAGGCAGCCGATCCATGACTCTCTCTCATCATTGATGCTTCTCTCTCTCTCTCTCTCTCTCTCTCTCTCCCATCCCCCACTGAAATCAATACAAATATATTTAACAAAAAGAAAAGGAAATAGGTACTTTGGCAAAACCCATAGCCCAGAGGCTCCCTTGGGTGGGCGGTGACACAGGAAGGTCTGGAGGAAACTCGGGGTCGCCAGCAGCAACAGAGGAGGCGGCCGGGCATCTACCCAGAGGCTCCCCTCCCCAGCATCTCCAAACGGGTCTCCTCCGGGGAGGGAGGCGCAGTGCAGGGTCACAGGACGCATGCCCAGGGGTGCGGGATCGGCCCAAGCTACTGAGGGTCCCCAGAAAAGGACACAGAGCCTCTGGGAGGGCTTTTAAGGGGCGAGTTGCTCTTTCTGGCTCTTCAGTGCCCAGCACTGCGCCTGGCACACTCTGGGCAAGCTCTCCCAGAACAGCAGGGGAGGCCCCAGCGCTTGGCTTGCCCCAGTAGGGGAGGCTGCACCCAGATTCTCCACAAGGGGGCGGCATTGAGACAGAAACTGCCCCGCCGGCCCAATGGGGCTTGGGGGCTTCAGGAAAGGGCTGCCCTGTCTGGAAGCGGGGTGAGTTCACCCCTTTCCTGAAATGAGGGGTCCTGGGTAAAGGGGGGGGGACTGTGACCCACCCACCCTCCCCAAGCACTTCCCTGCTTCCTTCTCACTTTCCTAGTGGAACCGACTGGGGCAGCCACAGTATGAGAGGGTAGGCACCCCACCGGACACCTCTTTACTGAGCACCCCCTGGGTGAGGCCCTGAGATCTCTGCCCTGGTACCAGGGGGGTGCCCTCGGGTGCCCAGCAATGAGCTAGCTCCCCTGGTCCTCTAGCGTCCTCTACCGATGGGTGGGGCTGTGCCTCCTCTCCCTCAGCCCACCCCTTCCCCTCCCCCTCCAGCCCTGGACAGGCTCCCAGCCTTCCCTCACTCCTAGACTCCACACGGGGATTCCCAAAGAGCCAGGGGGACCCTCCCTCCCTCTCCTCTGGTCCTGCCTCTCATTTTCTCCCACTTCCCCTCTACCTCCACTCACCCCCCACCCCCCACCCCAAAGCCTAGCAGATCCAGTCTCTCCGAGCCTGGACTTGCCTCCGGATTGGGGGCCTGGGGATGGGCAGGCACAGCTTTTATCATCCCCTGGAATGTCCATTATTCAGGTCTTGAGAAGCCGGCTCCTTCTCCCCCCATTTCATCTCCCTTACCCTCCATCTCCTTCCCTCATGGAGAGACAGGGGAGGAGGGGGAGGAGAAGGGAGAGGAGGAGGAGGGGGAAGAGAGTTGGCAGATTAAAATAATCTAATTTAGAGTTTTTAAGTCAAATATGCATAACAAATCTTCAAGGCACCCCTTCACTTGCCGGTACCTGGGAGTCACCCCAGGAATTCAGGCTCAGGGCCCTGGAATTTGTTCTCCCCACAGTACTCTGATTTCTCAACACACTCCTCTCTGTTAGAGTAAAAATCCATCTCTGACCTGTGAGCCTTCCTCCACGGTGGGGACAGAGCCAAGCGTCTATCACCACGTCTCCAGGACAGGAAGGGGCTGGGCATATAACAGGGCTGAGGGCATCCATGGGAAACATATATGGATGGGCTCTGAAATCCTCGCAGCATCTGGGACCTGACTCAGGGTTGTAGGACACAAGTCTCACCTACAAGAATCATTATCACCACCAACACCAATAACACCACCATCATCAATACCACCAATACCATCAGCACCATGCGCACCATCATCATCAGCGCCATCAATACCATCAGCGCCATCAATACCATCAGTGCCATCACCATCAGATATTATAATGAGAATTTTTATTTTTGGTTGCTCCTCACCTGAGATATTTTTTCATTGATTTTTAGGGAGTGGAAGAGACAGACAGAAACATTGATGTGAAAGAAACACATCACTTGGTTGCCTCCTGCACGAGCCCTGACCAGGGGCTGGGCCAGGGAGGAGCCTGCAACCGAGGTACGTGCCCTTGACCAGAATTGAACCTGGGACCCTGTGGTCTGCAGGCCAGTGCTCTATCCACTGAGCAGACTGGCTAGGGCCATTGTAATGAGAATTTGACATTCTCGTATTCACACCGAGTCTCAGACATCCGTGTGTATTCCCTCTTCCAGAGGCTTCGGGCACCTGTGCCAGCCCAGGAGCCTCCCGGGGGAGTGAGTGGCTCCGATTGGAAGCGCTGGTCTAGGCTGTCAGGATGCTCTTGCCTCGGAGACATGCAGTGTGCAAGTGAGCTGGTTAATGCGGAGTGCTCGGGCCCTGGGACACGGGGGCTGGTTAATGCGGAGTGCTCGGGCCCTGGGACACGGGGGGCTCCGTGGGTGCTAGGAATGAGTGAGCACCATGTCTGCACCCCCCCCCCCCCGCCCCCTGCTCTTTAGACATCGGCAGGATGAATGACACAATGCTATCAAGCCCTTCCCTTGATTTCTGGGCTGCAATTGGCGTCCGGCCTGGCCCCTCCCAGGGCCCCACCTGGGCCAAATGGAAGCCACTGTGTGTAGCAACCCCTCCCGCCGCCCAGAGACATGGTGGCGGCTCCTGGGAGGAATCCCGGGGCTTCTGTTCCTACAAAGTCAGAGGCAGCCTCCTGGCCTTTGGCCGCGTTGCTGGCGGGGTTGGGGGTTCTGAAACCTGAGGGAGGCGCCCTCCTCCATCCTGCTGGGGCCCCAGGGGCCGCCCAGCCCAGGGTCAGGGTCAGGTCTCCCAAGGCCCCCTTTCCAGAGGGCGAGGCTGCCAGGGCTGTGCCAGGTGGAACTCTGTGCCATCCCTGCCAGGCTCCCACCAGTGCCCCAGACAAGCCGTAGGCAGAGGGGCCCTGAGCTGGGAGCAGAGCGGCCAAGTGGCGGGAAGAGGCTCTAAGTGGGGGTTCGTGGGTGTGGGGCTGCGGTGAGGTTTGAAACGCTCGCTCAGGTCTAAACTGTGGGCAGGAGGTGTAACCAAGCCTATTGTTCCTGTTATTGCTCATTCATTCATTCATTCATTCATTCATTCATTCATTCATTCAAATATCACTTTATTGATTTCAGAGAGGAAGGGAGAAGGAGAGAGAGAAACACCAATGATGAGAGAATCATTGATTGGCTGCCTCCTACATGCCCCACACTGGGGATCGAGCCCCTAACCAGGCATGTGCCCTTGACTGGAATTGAACCAGGGACCCTTCAGTCCACAGGACGACACTCTATCCACTGAGCCAAACCGGCCAGGGCCCATGTTCTCACTCTTTTAAAAAAGGGCAATGCCACATCCAGGGGGGCCTCGGAGGAGAGGGCGAGTTTGCATCTCATGCCCAGCATGCCCTCTTCACGCACTTACATGCACCATGGGGATCTGTGCCTCAGACAGGCTGCAACCTCACACATGCCATGCACACATGTGCCCCTGTGCACACATGTACCCCTGTGCACACCCCACGTGCATTTATACGGGAGAAGCGATATGGGTGACCAGAGACCTAACGTTTGCCCAGGAATTTATGAGCACAGTGTTGGTCGCCCCAGTCCCAGACCCCTGGCCCCCGAGGGTGCTGTGTTCTCGCCCCCGCAGCAGGGAGCTGGGGGCCCCATGAGCCAGCGAGGACAGGGAGGTCCAGAGCGGTGAAGGGACTGGCGGCAGCTGGAGCAGCCAGGGCGGAGCTGCGCCAGCCTCTCTCCTGGAAGCCACCTCTCCCTGTCATCGCATCCCGCGGAGTGGGTGGCTGTCACCTGCCCCGCTGGCCTGTGAGCCCTTCTTGGGCATGTGCTTCTCTCTGCAAAGTGCATGGACCACGAAGGCAGCAGCTGTCGTGCCAAGAGCTGGACCGAGGTTCACTGAGTATTGGCTGTGTGACCTCAGGCAAGTGACTTAACTTCTCTGAGCTCCAGGTTTTGCATCTCCAAAGGGGGACGGTGACATCGCATAAGGGTACTGCTGGGAGGGCTTTAGGAGGCCCTCCCTTCGTAACTGTCCGGCGGACGGACTGAGGACGGGCTCAGCCGGACACGCAGCGCCTTTGGCCCAGGACTTGGCAGCGCACACCAACTACAGCCCCTTCCTCTTGGCACCTGGTGGGCACCGAACCCCACAGAAGGAAGAAAAGCAGGAAGAGAGGGAGGCACCCCTTCATCTCACCGCGCTCCCGAGTCTGCGTGGCTCAGGTTCGCACCCGCTGCCCTGTCTGGCTCGCGGAGTTCTCTCTTCCTCCTTTGGTCACAGAACCTTGAGAGAACGTCTCAGCCTCAGCCCCCTCACAAGCCCACTTCCTCCAAGCGTTCCTGGCAATGTGCTCAGGCTGCTTCTTCCATATGAACATCCAGCATCACTTTTTCCATTAGCTTCCCACTGGGACCCCACACGGACTCGCAGTCCGCTGATGTGTTAGCGTCTGGGGTTTCGCTAGAAAGCAGGGCGGCTGCCATGCGTCCCACGGCCCTGACGGGGCGGGGAAGGAGCCTTCGGGCTCCAGCGCTGGGCTTTGTGGGGAGCTTCTGCCTGGGGAACAAGTGGGGACTGGGTCATGTCGGGTTCCCCGAGGAGGTCCCCAGGCAGGGGCTATACAGAGGAGACACCTCGCCTTCCATCTGCTGTCGGGGACCGTCCGGACTCGTGGGTCCTGTGCGTGTCCCCTGGGCTCGGCGCCCCTCTTCCCAGCACCCCTGGCTCACGGAGGCTCCTGGGGCTCCAGTGTCCCGGGATCCCCCCTCCCCCGGCAGACTTGTTTCCCCCCTTTCCCTCTTAGGCTCGCTGCCCCACACCCTCACCTCTTCTCCATCCAGCCCCTGTCCTCCCAGCGGGCTTGGCTCTCCCTGGTCTGCAGGAAATACTCATTTCCCCAGACTTGGAAAGCTCGGGGAGAAAGCACGGCTTTGGCAGGAAAAGGTCTACGTTGGAGCCCTGGCCACCGCTTCACTAGGGGGCCCTGGGCCAGGCCCTTACCTGCTCTATCTCCGTTTTTTTCTCTCGTTTGCACAGAGTCAATGTCCCTTTCTGGAGGACAGGAGGCTCTGTGCAGGTGTGGGAGGCTGAACAATGAACCGGACCGACGCTCCCCGCGCTGGGGGAGCTCCCACCACCCAGCTCCTGTGGGGCCGCTGGCCAATAGCTGCCGCCAGCTCTCAGCCCCAGATCCCGTTCAATCAGAGCCCACAGGCAAGCTACTTGCTCCCCGAGCCTCAGTCTCCTCATCCATGAATGGGGCACATGGATCCCAAAGGAAGCTGGCCGTGTGAGGGGAAGAAACCCCTCTTGCCCCCCACCGCCCGCCCCCCGGCTTTCCCTCTGGCCCTGGGGGAGTGGATTCAGAGCTCTCCCCTGCCCCCTGCCCACCCGCCCCTGCCTCCATGCCCAGCCCCAGCGGGCTGGCACCGTCTGCCACGTATCTTGCTCCCCTGGCTTCTTGGAGGTGCAGACCTTCCTCCCGCCCTTGGAGGTCTGTGCAAGCCCAGGCGGCAGAGGTTAGAAAGCATCGCAGGCCCCATGCCTCACTCGGCCCTGGTGCTGAAAGCTGGCATTTTCCTGTCCAGCTTCTCTTGGCATTTTCCACGTTCCCTTCCTGAGTATACCCAGCCCCTGGAGACTCATGTTTTCCAAACCCCAAGACTTAGGAAGCCAACTTACAACTTGCTCACAGTCATGCTGCTCAGAGAGGGCGAGCGACTAGCCCAAGGCCACACAGCCAGTCTTGGCAACGCTGGCTCCGGGGCCCCTTCCCTCCCGTGTGGCTTCAGGTGTGAAAGGAGGCGGGCGGGACCCGCGAGCTTGTTTCTGCAGGTGCTGCCCCTGCTCTCGCCCTGCCAGAAGCCGCGGATCCCAGGCAGCCCTCCTCCTCACCCCGGGCCTCGCCCCTGCCCTCCTCCAGCCCCTCTCCTCCGGCCGGTCCCCTCTCCGAGCCCCTCCGGCGGGACTCACCGTGGCCAGGGCGCTGCCCGCGGTGGCTGCTGCGGTCATTACTGCCAGCGTCCAGGGCAGGAACCACCTCATGCCTGGGGGTCAGTGGCCAAGGCATCGACCGAGCAGCCCGGGAGATGTCCGCGTCTCGGGGAGCGGGCCCAGACTGGCGGCCCATCGGGAGCACCAGCCCTGCTCTTCCCGCCGCCCTGGGGGGTTTTATGAAAGCGAGATCTGACGTCAGGGGTGAGGACAAACCCTGCATTTTCCTCTGAAAAAAACTTTTCCTGCCTCTCTCTCTCTCTCTTTTTCTTTCTTCCCTCTGTCCCCACCTCCAGCCCCGCTTGGCCACCGCCCCGGCTCTGACAGTCTTAAAGGGAAAGTTGCCGGGCTCTGATTGCAGGCGGGGGCCGGCCGCAGATTCCCACAGAGGAGCCAGGTCACCAGGGGGTGTTTCACAGAGCTGGGCCGGGGGAGGGGGGGTCCCCGGGAGGGTGCCGGGCGGAGGCGGGGATCCAGTTACCCGTGGGCGGTGGGGGCTTTGAACGCTCTCCCAGTGGGAAAGCGTTTCTGCCGGCTGCGCCCACTTCTGGTTTTCATCCGTCACCTTTCACTCGCCCGGCTGCCGGCAAAGGGGTGGCTCCAATTCCCCATCTGGAAATGATAGGCGTTCACCGATGCACCAGGCGCTGGCTCGAGTGGCCTCATTATCTCCCCACACATGGAAGCCGCGCCACTAACTCACAGGGGCTGCTGTGCCCTGCTCCCAGCCAGCCTGGGGGCTGGGCCGTCCCCCCATATCTGGGCACTTGTTATCCCTGCTGGGTTTGGGGTGTCTGGCCTTCTCCCCCTGCTGGACACGTGCCACACAGGTGAGGGCTCCCCCATGGGTCCTGTTCTGCCCCGTCCAGTGCCCGCATCCCCACGTGGATCTCGGGGACGGCCTTCCAGGGGTCCCAGCCTCTATCTACCATCCATGCTTCACACTAGGACCCTGGATCTCTCCCCAATGCAGCTCCCAAGCCTGCACGTTGACCTAGCGTGGCACCCCGCCCTGGCCTGGCCCCGCGGCCAGCTGCCTCCCTGGACACTTATCTCCCCACTGCCTCTGTCCTGCCCCCTCTCGGCCACCACGGCCTCCAGCTGTGCCGTCACCCCCAGCGGGTGTCCTCTCTGGGACTCTCTGTCCTGTGGTTTCCTTCCTTGTGTCTCCTCTGAGCGCCCAGGAGACCCTAGGACCCACGGGGTGTCTTCAGAAACCATCTGAGAGGGAAACGGGGTCAGGGAAAGGTGGGGGCTGAGCGGGGCCCTGGGACCTGGTGCACAGGAGGTGTGTGCAGGGTGGGGCGGGGTGACAGTCTGCATTTCCCCAGGCGCAAGGCCAGGGCATCACACAGCCTGACTTATTCCCATTGTTCTTGGCAATTTATTATTACCCCATTTTACAGATGGGAAAACTGAGGCCCAAGGTCTCCCAGCTGGTACCTAACAAAGTGGGGGTTCAGTGCAGGCCAGCCTCACCCCAAAGCCCTTGCTTTCCCCTCTACCTGCCCAGGTAGAGGTGCCCACCTGTGCCCGAGGCTGACGGCTGAGGTGTGCTCCTGTCCGAGTCAGCTGTGAATCAAGAACTGAGTAGCAGGCAGGGGAGCCCGTTAGGAGGAGCACATGTATGGACTGGGACACGAGGGACATTAACCTTGACCCCTTTAGATGGTCCCTCACTCTTACTTGGGCCCCAGGCCCAGCCAGGCGGGAGGCGGAGGACGGCGCAGACCGCTGCCCACGCTCTGCCCGCCGGAGAGCTGGTGGCTCAGCCGAGCGGCCTCTGTGCCCTGGTGGGCGTGTCCCACGTTTTGTGGCTCAGTAGCCCCGGGAACTGGCGTCCTGCCGCTGCCCCGCTGCCCCGGGTGGGCTTCCTGAGACAGATAACTGATAAGCAAATGGGCTGTGAACGGGGCTGGAGCCTCCAGGCGCCTGGTCCTGGAAGCTTCTGGAATCTTCTGAGCATCTGGCCCTGGTCAAGGAGCTTTGTGTCTGGCATGGGAATGCCCTGGCCCGGCTCTGCTCCTGACATCCCCCCCCCCCCCCCCCGCAGCCCCTCTGGAATGTTTACAGCTGTGCCGGGAGGGCTGGTGGGGGCAGCACCAAGAGGCCCAGGCCGAGGGCGAGCGAACAGCTGGGTCAGGGCCCTGAGCAGGGGAGGGAGACCCCAGCCCAACAGAGACGGCGGGCGGTGCCGCCTGGTCTGACTCTTGCCCACAGTCCCTGGCAGGCGGCAGGCATCTCCTGAAGGGGACACGGGCTCTGCTCCCCTCAGACCCCTTGAGCGCCCATGCGAAGGCGTCCTGAGCGCTTCCACCCGCTGAGCCTGCGGGGCGTGGGCTCCCCACTCAGAGACAATGGGGTGTCGGGGTTTCCAGACCAGGGCCGGGTCCTGCAGGGCGCTGCCTGCCCCGGGAAGCCTGACACAGACGGGGGTTGAGGGGGTGGGGGGGGGGGGCTTCCCGCATTCTTCTTTCAAAAACGATTCGCGTCCAACTTCCAGGAAACCCTCATCTCAGGGGCCCCTGGGTACATGTCACCGAGTTTTGAGGACGCGCGTGCAGCTGGGACGCCTGTCACCATGGCCTCCCGGGTTCTCCCAGCTCCGAGGGAAGCCGCAGCTCATGCCCGTTTGCGTCTGGAGGCCTGGACTCCACGCGGCGTTGGTCCGGCTTCGCTCGTGGTGGGGAGGAGCCGAGGCAGCTGGCGTCCAGCTGGGGGAGCGGGAGGGACACGGTGGACATGACGGTGCGTCCACGGAAGCAGCTCACTGATGAGCGCAGGGCAGCGGGGGCCCCTCCAGCAGAGCGGAGTGAGCAGGAGCCAGGCCGCCAGCCAGCACCCCGCTGTGCGCGAGACGGGGGTACACAGCGCGCTCCCAGCTGCACGTTCATGCACATGTTCAAGGGCACACGCTAGAGAGGCTGCCATGGGGGAGGGAGAGGAGGGGCAGGACAGGGGAGGAGAGGGAACAACATGGTCCCAGGGAGGCGGTTGGAACGCATTAGAGAGAGAGCCCTGGCCAGGAAAATCCCGCCTGCCTCCCCGTGTGCACCCCGGGCAGCAGCACACATTTAAGAGAAATAGGAGGAGGAGGAGGAGGAGGAGGAGGAGAGGGTGCCAGGGCCCTTCAGGCAGCTGCCTGTGCGAGAAGAACCCACGTGGGGAGCAGCCCGGCGCCCTTTCCCGTTCAGCTTGACAGCTGCCCAGCCGCCGGGGACACTGCTCAGCAATCAAAAGGGCAGCGTAGGAACTGGCCCAGGCTACGGTCCGGGGAGGACAGGGCCCCCGGCTGGTGTGGGAGGAACTAACGGGGCCTGAAGACCCGGCTCCTGCTCTGACTTGAGGGCCATTTTTTAAGAATATATTTTTATTGATTTCAGAGAGGAAGGAAGAGAGAGAGAGAAACATCAATGATGAGAGAGTCTCATAGATCAGCTGCCTCCTGCACTCCCCTACTGGGGATGGAGCCCACAACCCAGGCCTGTGCCCCGACAGGAATTGAACTGTCAACGTGGAACCACTGGGCCACACCGGCCGGGCTTGAGGGCTATTTCTACTTGTGCATCTGCCTGTGTACGAGCCACACGGAAGAGCTCAAATACCCCCGCTTATGGGGTCTTGGAGCGAGTCTTCACTGCTCAGGGCGCCCTGTTCCTTTCTGTGACATGGGGGCACGGAGCTCCTCCCGCGGGCGGTGGCGTCCATGCGGCCACAAGCTTGTGGTCTTGCCCGTGCAGCCAGGGCCTGGCGCCGAGGTCGGGTGCCTCCCTTAGGGCCCAGGCCACGGGCAGTCATTTCTGCAGCACGCCCGGCACTGCCTCAGGTGAGGCCCCTCTCTGGGCCTCCGTTTCCTGTCATGTACAATGAGGGGTTGGGCCCTAGCCAGTTTGGCTCAGCAGATAGAGCATCAGCCTGCGGACCACAGGGTCCCAGGTTCGATTCCTGGTCAGGGCACATGCCCGGGTTTCGGGCTCCATCCCCACCCAGTAGGGGGTGTGCAGGAGGCAGCAATCAATGATTCTTTCTCATCATTGAAGTTTCTATCTCTCTCTCCCTCTCCCTTCCTCTCTGAAATCAATAAAAATATATTTTAAAACATAAATAAATAAAATGAGGGGTTGGAAATGTCTGCCCCGGACTTACCTTACCACCTCAGCTCCTTCCTCGGGACGAGGGAGGAGGGACAGCCCCCTTGCCCGCGGGCCCGCTGGCCCTCAGCCCCTGGCGGGATGGCACTGAGTCCTTTTGCCTTGAAGGCCCCGGGGCAGGCTGGGCTCTGCGTGGGCGGCCTGGCCAGGGCGGGGGCCTGGTCCCGCTGTCCCGGCCTGGGCGCCTCCCTCAGGCACAATGTGCCCTGTCTTCTCTGCAGATCTGGGTTAGATACACCGTCTGCTGTTCCCTTTCCCCGTATTCTGTAGGCGTCTCAGCCAATCCCGCCCCAGAGAAAGCTGCCAGGTCAAGGGGACCTGGTCACTTTCAACAAATTGAGCACAATGTGCTGTTCCCCCGGACACACAGCCAGGCTGGTTTCCAGCACAGCTCACCTCGGCCCACATGCGGGGCAGATGCTCAGCGCGGGGCGAGCGGGGCTGGGGGGAGTGAGGGGGGACGTCCCTGTGAGACCACGGACGCTCGCTGGTGCTCCACACAGGCCCCTCGACCTTCCAGTTCTCCCTCTGTCAACGGCAACGACTAAGAACAGCGCGGGAGGGGCTCCTGTGAGGGTTAGAAGAGAACATTTAGAAAGATCTGGACGAATGTCAGGCGCATGGAGCCATGCTGGCTATTAAACATACATACGTCAGCCAGGAAGGGAGAGGGAGAGAGAGAAACATCAACGATGAGAGGGAATCACTGATCGGCTGCCTCCTGCCCGCCCCACACCGGGGATGGAGCCCGCAACCCGGGCCTGTGCCCTGACCGGGAATCCAACCGTGACCTCCTGGGTCATAGGTCGACACTCAGCCACCGAGCCACGCCGGCTGGGCAACGTTGGCTATTTTAATACCAATTTATGTGTATGTGTGTGCAGGGGAGTGTATATATATGTATGTAAATACATAATTTGTCTTTCTTTAAAAATAATATTTGCTTAGCAAAGAAACGTTGTGAAGAGGGAACTCAAAAGCTGTAGAAAGATGTGCTCCCAGAGATAAGCTCTGTCACCGTTTTGAATGACTTTAGGCACTTTTTAGACACTGTGTTACGTGCAT